GCAGGGCCCAATGCGACCCGGTCGATCCGATTTGGTATCGATCTTGGGATCAATCTTGGCCGCTCTACCCGATTCGCCCTCGGTCTTCCGGCGATCCGATGCGGCCCGATGCCTCCACGGCACTGTCGTGCGTCTTTGCGCGGTCGATTCGATTCGATTCCGGCCCCGCGCCGATGCGGCCGGTTTTAATGCACTTTTGGATACGGATGCGATCCAATCGCCGACCGCCAGACTATGTCCATATCCATCGCCTCGGAGCCGTGCCCCAGGACCTCGAGGACCCCTCGAGGGGTGGTAGGTCTGGATGTCTGCCCGCCTCCGGGACTCCGAAGGTCAGAAAAAGTGCCCAGGGTCACAGCTCCCCCGAGGGTCCAGGGCGAAAAAGAGCGCCCGCTCGTCCAACGACGGTCGATTCGATTTCGACCCCGTGCCCATGCAGCACAATTCAGGACTCCCTTGAGATCCGACGTTGCGAAACAATTGCAACATCGCAAAAATTACGACGGAGCCCCTGACCCTGTTTTTCTGTATTATTTTTCGAACCCGATCGATCTGTGAGGGTCCTGGGGCCCGAAATTGAGTGAACACGCGCATTGTGAAAAAATTGCAACGCCAGGATTTCAGGGTCCCTCCGATCCGATCCGGCTTGGTTGAGAAACAGCTAGATGAGGAGGAGGAGGAGGAGGAGGAGGAGGAAGAGGAGGAGTAAGAGGAGGAAAAAGAGGAGGAGGAGGAGGAGGAGGAAGAGGAGGGGGAGGGGGAGGGGGGGAGGGGGAGGGGGAGGGGGGAGAGAAGGGAAAAACAAGTAGGGGCATGAACATAGGCTGTCGAAGGTCTGCGCGGATCGCCCGGGTCGGCGCGGGCGCCCTCCCCCCTTTCTGGCGCCCCCCCTGGCGCCGCCCCCTTGGAGCGCTCCGCGCGCAAAAGAGGAGGAGGAGGAGGAGGAGGAGGAGGAGGAGGAGGAGGAGGAGGAGGAGGAGGAGGAGGAGGGGAGGTGGAGGAGGAGGAGGGGGAGGAGGAGGAGGAGGAGAGGAGGGGAGGGTCCAGCGCCGACCCCAAGGATCCGCGCGGCCCTTCGAGCGCTCGATCTCCATGCCGCGCAGGCTCAGAGCACCTCCAGGCTGAGATCCGGGCCGCTCGGGCCCTGTCCATTCGAACGCCCTGGGGGCCTTCTTCCTCCTCCCCCTCCTCCTCCTCCTCCTCCTCCTCCTCCTCCTCCTCCCTCGTCCTCCTCCCTCCCTTCTCCTCCTCCTCCTCCTCTTCCTCTTCTCCCCCCTCCTCCTCCTCCTTCTCCTCCTTCTCCTCCTGTTCCTCTTCCTCCTCCTCATCCTCCTGGTTGGGGGCAGGGAGGGCAAGCTGCTGCTCTCAGTGGGCTCCCTGTCGCCATCCCGCTGCAGGCGTGCCGCCACAGGCATCTGGCCGAGGAGCGCTCGGCCGGGAGCGCGAAGCGTCCCGTGCACCAGCAAGTCGACGCAAGTCTTCCTCCTCCTCCTCCTCCTCCTCCTCCTCCTCCATCTCCATCCTCCATCCTCCATCCTCCATCCCCTCCCCCTCCCCCCTCCCCCTCCCCTCCTCCTCCTCCCTCCTCCTCCTCCTCCTCCTCCTCCTCCTCCTCCTCCTCTCCTCCTCCTCCTCCTCCTCCCCCTCCCCCTCCCCCTCCCCCTCCCAGCACCCTGCCGACCTGTCGACTGATCGGAATCCTGCGCCCCGTTGGCGATGCCAGCCACGATTGAATCGGGGGCGCGCTGAAGCTTGCGCGGGCACCCCAGCCGCGCGAATGATGCGAGATTTCTTTCCCTGGACCGACGGGGGTGGGCCAGCGCCGACCCAAGGAATCCGCGCGGACCTCCGCTTCATGGGGTTTGATCTCAGAGCACCCTTCTGTCCGATCCGACTTTTCCACAGGCGCCCTCGAGGGCGCGAAGTTCTTCGCGCTTCGCGGTTCGGCTCCGATTCCTCATCCTCCTCTTGTCTCGGAGGTTGATCGACCTCCTACCCTGACACGTCGATTAGCGAATTGGCCGTTTTCGGTTCGCGAGAGGGCGTCGCGGCCATCATTTTTGCGGGTCCAGGTCCGTCGGCTTCGGTCCCAGGCCGTTTTCACTAAGGGGAGGTTTACTAAAGGGAGGCTTGTCCACCGCCGACATGGGGGTGCGTTTGCATTGAATCATGATTGGAACAAGGGGAAAATCGACTACACGTAAGAGTGACATTTCGCCAGAGTGACCCTTGGTGGTGGCTCATCGGGGCCTCTCCGATCGCTGAGCGCGGTGCGGTAGCGTCTGCATGCTCGCTTGGAATCGGCCACCTTGCGCCTCCTTAGTCCGAGCGCCAGAGGTCACTCTTGCCGAGGGTCACTTTTGCGAGTAGCCGAGGAAAGCGGGCAGGGGGATTGTCATGCACTCTCATTGCTCCCTACCCTTGTCCTCTGAGGTATCTCCTTCTTCTTCTTCTTCCACGTCGCTCTCCGATGCATTTTCGCTTTCGGCACGACGTCCGCCTCAGGGCACGCTGGGTTGGGACTCGGGCACCCATCGACCACGACCCGTCCAGCTCGCTGCGTTCAGTCGCGGTAGCGAGACAATCTCGTGGGGAGTTTTGCGAAAGAGCTTCTGGCTCCCGCCCCAAACGTTGAGGACGGGAAGGACGACGAAGACGTGGAGGACGAGAAATACAACGAGGACGAGGAGGACGACGAGGACGTGGAGGCCGAAAAGGAAGACGAGGACGAGAAGGACGATGAGGACGTGGAAGGCGACGAGGACGTCGAGGCCCGCCGACAGAAATGCCGAAAGGGCTCCCCCGACGCCCCGTGCCTCAAAGTTGGCGGGCGACGGCGCCAGCGGGGGGTGCGGGGTGTTGCGAAATGGATGCCCGCTCTCGCAAGGAGCCAATCGCCTCCCGTCGACCTTGAAATGCCGGGGGGGGCACCGGGGGCGCCTTGCGACGTCCTGTTGCCCAGACCCGGCCCGGGCGCCTACTTCGCAGAAGCGGTGGCATGTCGCTGGAGGGTTCTGACAGAGGAGTAGGAGGAGGAGGAGGAGGAGGAGGAGGCGGAGGAGGAGGAGGAGGAGGAGGAGGAGGCGGAGGAGGACGAGGGCGCGGACGAGGGCGCCACGGCAGAGTTCCGCAGGGGGGGCGGGGAGCCCCCGAGACCGCCCAGTCCAGCAGCCGCTTCGCTCGAGGCCTCTTCGCAGGTTTCCCGGGGCCTGCTCCCTGAGAGGGCTGAAGGGCTTCCGAGAAGAAGCGGGCAAGCTGGGCCATGTGCGGCTGTGCCAGCTTCCCCTCCGCGGCCGCGGGGCAGGGAACCTCGAAGCGAGTTGCCGGAGGCCGCAGCGTGTCCCGCGAACGTTTTCCTTCTCTTTCCTGTTGCGTGGGCCAGATCTGTTTCACTTGCGCAGCGCCTGCCAGGCTCGCGCACAGCTCCTAGGCAAACGCTTCCGCGTTCGCAGGAGGCGCCTAAGCAGCTCCTGGGCGGCGCTCCCTCGGGTCGCGTGCATCTCGTAGGCAGCGCTTCCTAGACTCGCCTGCAGCGCCGATGCAGCTCCTAGGCAGCACCTCCCAGGCCCGCGCGGAGCTCCCAGGCAGTGCTTCCTGAGCTCGTGGGCAGCGCCCACTGGCAGCTCACACGACAGCGCTTCCCAAGGGCTCGCGCAGAGCTCCCAACCGGCGTTTCCTGCGCTCTTGTGCGCAGCTCCGGGCAGCTCCCGAGAAGCGCCCCCTGCGCTCGTGCGCGCGGGCGTCGTGCGCCCGCGAGCGCTGCTGTCCGGCTTCTAGGCCGCAGCAGTTCTTCCGGCGCCGCGTTCTCGCTTCCATTCTCTGCTGCGTTGGGGGTCTGGGCGGCCCCGAGCCCGTGCGACGGATACACCTGAGGTGCACATGGCCGTACCCTCGGGGGCGGAAACGAGGGGGGTGATGACTAGGGGGGGATCTCGTGGCGGGGGCCATGATAATCTCCCCAGATTTCATGGCGCTTTTTCTTATCTCATTACGGCCCTGGCCCCCCCGCTGGGCCGCGCACGTGCCGCGGGTCATGATTTGCACCCCCCCCTCCTGGACACCCCTCTCTTGGCCACTCCCGATACGCTCACCCTGGTCCCGATTGCATCTTGTGGCTACTAGGGTGCCTTGTTGGGGTCGTTTTGTTCGCCGCTTGTGCGGCGACTCGACTCGGAGAAGAACTCAGGGGCAACGTTAGGGGGGATGGGCTCATGGGGGAAGGCATCGATCCACAATCGCCCATGGATCGCCGATAAAGGGGCTCGATCGCCTGCCCCACCCTGCACGTATCAGAACGCGCGGTTTCTTTATCGAGGGCCTATCGCCGATGTATCGGCGACGTATCGCCGATTCAAGTTCGATGTTTCCTCCCTTGGGCTGGCCCCCCGCTTGTAGTTGTTCTTCAACGTGGCGGGTCGGTGCGGAAAAGAGACGGCGACGTAAATTCGGATTTCTCGGATCGGCGCTAGGCCCTGCTGGCGGTGCCTCAGGCGTTGCCTCTGGCGCAGGGGATCCAGCGCCGACCGAAGAGATTTGCGTGGTGCTCCGAAAGTTTTTGGTCAGGAGCGTTAGCTTAGCTTGTCGTGCCGCCGGTTCTTGACCCACGCTTCGGCGCGGCCTGCTAGGCGCGCCCCCGTCCCCAAGCATTAGCTTTCCGACCTTTTCCCAGCCTCCCGTCCCGCGATGCGGAACGACACGCCATCAGCTTGCAAGGCACAGCGTGGCGCAGGGCCCTTCGCCGCGGCACGCTGAGCAAAGTATCCTCACAGTAATTCTGGTCCTGCCGACCGCCTTTTCGCCCAAGTTGTCCAAGGAGTACAGGCGGACCGCACAGAATCGCTACAAAGTGCCCTTGCCCTTCGCCTCCCCCTCCTCGTCCTCCTCTTCCTCGTCCTCCTCCTTCTCCTCCTAATCCTCCTCCTCCTCCTCCTCCTCCTCCTTCTCCTCCTCCTCCTCCTCCTCTCCCTCCTCCTTCTGCTGGCTACTTCGATGTTGACTGC